GCGCTGATGTGAGAATAAATTATTTAAGAGCGGCTGTTCTTTCTTGAGACTACTGTAAAAAAAAATTAAAAAGTATTTACTGTACTGATAAACAAAATTATACAGAGCTGAAACAAGAGAAGACAGTTTGGAAGCTTTTTAGACTTTGATTAAAAAAAAACAGTGACACTAAACAAAAAGTTATTTCATAGTGTGAATGTTTACAGAACATTCACACTATTGTGATCCATTTTTCTTCTGCACGTTTTTCGGAGCGATTCTCGTCCCGCAGTTTTCAAGCTTTTTCAACAAATCATTTATCAAAACGTTCGGCTCTTTCAGGACAATCCTGCTATGACTTTTGGTATTGGTGCAACTTTAGCTTTTTGAAATATTTAGCTGTTTCTGCCACTTTTTTTTCTCATAAAAGATGAATCAAGCTCATTTTACATCCTTGAAATCTTTAGATGTGTTTACAACCTTTTACTGCTCCTTTCACATTTTGTTCTGCTTCAGCTTCTTTCAGCTTCCTTGTGCAAACTTTGTTTCAGCTACTTTCAGCTGTTTTGTGCTCCTTTCCAATTCTTTCTGCTAACCACAACATTTTTGTGCTTCTAACTTCTTTCTGCTATTTTCAGCTTGCTATGTTCCTTTCAGCTAATTTTTACAAGTTTAATCTTCTTCTGCTATTTCAGCTGCTGTTTAGCAGTTTTATGCTAATTTGAGCTTTTTCAGCTAATTCCACATTTTTTGCACTCATTTCAACTTTTTTTCAGCCCAATTCAGCAGATATGTGCTCTCTTCACTTCTTTCTGACTTTTGCGCAACTCTTGAGCTATTTTTTTGGTTAATTTCAGTTTTTTTTTTTTTATAGCTAAATTAGTTTTTTTTGTGCTGATTTCTGCCTATTTAAACATAATTTAGCAAACATGAGTATTTCTGATTTCTTCTACCATTTAAGACTTGCTCTTCCATTTCAGCAAAATTTCAGCATGTTTTTTTTAAGTTAATTTTAGCTGTTTTTCAGCAAGTTCTTCTGCAATAAGCATCCACATTGCATTTTCACAGGAAATGCAATTTCTCCAGTTATTATTATCCCAAAAGGCAAAGTTTGACATTAATGTTTTTGTCTTCGTGTGTTCATTTGTTATTCTGTTAGCAAAATATCTCATTAACCTCGGGGATAAATTAAAATCATATATCAACTAGACATTCAGTTTGTTGTGGTAGTGCTTGTTGTTTGTTTACATGTTGTCTTTGTGCCATTCACTGATCTCTCTGCATTTTTTGGGTCCCTGCTGTGTTTTTCTCGTCAGTTTTCATTCTCTTCGTTCCACCAGTTTACGACTTTTCTTTGTCTCGGAGCTTTACAGCTCTTCATGGTAGTTGTAGTCCTTGATATTCGTCTCTGTAGTTTGCAGCATTTGGGGTCATTTTGTGTTTTGTTGTTTTATATCCCGGTTGTCAATATTTACTTTTAAGCACATATTTCAGCCTGGGTGTTTATTATAATGTGACATTTGTGGTGTCATAGCAAATAATAAAAAATGTGATAAAAAAAGAAAAAAGATTTTAAAACGATATTTGGAGAAGTTGATGTTCCAACCTCGGACTCAGGAGAAACAATGCGGACTTTGACAAAGCCATGAAACACTGGACCAGCTTTTTATTTTTACTCAAATCTTAGAGGATTAATTATAAACCACCTACGTGAAGGCCAGCAAATAATGTAGTTATCTATGTTTGTCTGTTAGCAAAATATCTATTGAACCAATGGATGAATTCTAATGGCACTCAAAGTACTCGTCTGATGTTGATCTGACTCAAGATGGCCGCCACAGAAAATCAAAACGGAGCAAACACAAAAGTGGCAACAAATCAGCTAATTTAGCAGAGCCTGAGCTAAAACTGTGTGGTAGTAGCTGAGCGTCATCCACAACACACTCACAGTGCTAACGGATATCAGGTTGAAAAATATTTTCAATAATTCAACCAAGACCATTCAGGTCCAGTTTATTTTTTTGTTGGGACGTTCCATCCAAAGGACTTCATCAGTTCAAGGAGCCACAACAAACTCAGTCCCACAAGCAGCACACTCACATAGTAGACCAACCAGTTTGCTGGTGGTAAGGTGGTTTCTGGTGCCCGCTCTCTCCCCCGTACACTCCTCTGAGGCAGCCATAGCCAAAGTGGTTCAAAACATCAAAGTTCATGCGCAATAATCCAGGTAAAAAAATCCAACAAAGTTAAGTCAGGTCCTCTGGCCATTTTATTTTTTA